TAATGAGACATGGAAATCGATACGTGCTTGAAAATTATTCTCTGGTTCAAAGATACCAGCAAATTTACTGCCAAAACATAACGTAAAGGCTGAGTTGGATGGCATTAATTAGGTCAGCGATTAATTAATTTTTCGCATTTGCTTCAAAACAAGACATAAACGAAATTTAGACCTGGAATAATTTTTATTTGGTGAAGAATTTTCATATTGAGTTAAAATCTTGAAGACCTCAACATCGAAAAAATGTTTTCATATAAACTCTGTGTTCAGAGTAGTCAAAATTCTTGCAAATACTTGAGAATATTGAAGTGGATTGATAAGTGGCAACGCCGGAACAAAAGCAATCATATGTTTCATATCTGGAAAGTTTTAAAGGACAGCTTTTAGTTTCGACTTTATCAGATGCTATTATGTTTTATTAGCTTTTTGCAAATAATTAAAATAATGCACCTTGGTGATTTTTTATAAAATGGAAAACATTGAATATTGTTTTTTATTATAAAATTCCTACATTCGAAAGGAATATACAATGATATATTCAAATGGGAAATGGATTCTGTGTACGGCAACCTTGCACTATCACCCTTTATGAAGAAGAAGCTATGTTGAAGTTGAATACTATGCATCAGGGCTCACTTGTGCATAGTCAATGGCTTATTATGATAATAAGTAAAACTGTACCCACTCCAGGGTTGAGGGATCGTCTAAAAGTAAGAAATCCGAAGATTCTAGCGCACGAATAGCGTCTCTTTAAAAAGATGCAAGTTCTTAATTCAAGTAAAAGACAACCAACCTGATAAGTTCATAAACTTGGCTTGAACTCCACCTATATAAAAGCACAGTTTTGACATGTCAGTGAAAAGGGAACCTTAAACAAGGGAATCTTTGGTTTGGAATATACTCCAAACCAAAGATAACCACTCACACATAAGGTGATATAGGTACAGTTTGCTTTGCATCACAGAGCTATAGCACCAATAAGAGAGTGTTAAGAGAGTAAATCATAATAACATTTATTGAAAATATAACCATAGACTCTATGGGAACGATGTTATCCCCATTCCAAAAAAGTTTGTCGCAGTCAATAATGAAATCTGCGAACAAAAAATTAATCTTACATCGGTTTAAATGAAATTCACACATATATAAAATGAATATGATGTATGTAAGTTACAGTTGTTTTCAAAAATTGCTTGTATGAATGAATACCCAATCATTTAGTTTATAAAATAGCTACTAAGCATTCGGAAAGACCCATTCCTAAATAGTTTAAAAGGTTATTACTATTATTACTCTTGAGAAGTTTCGTACTACAATGTTAAGCTCTATTGAGCCGTATTTATGAACCGTTTAGCCCTATTTCCTTGTTATATTGCAGTATTTGACCCAGATTTCAAAAATATTTAAGCAAACAGGATATGTCATACATAATAATACATTATAAATTATATACAATACACTATCAATCTTCCTTAACGCTTCTAATGACTAAGATTTACTGCAAGTTTTTCCGCTTTATTGTTACCATCAGTCATAGCATGTCCCGGGATCCATAGAATCCAAACTACATTATTTTCTCCAAGTATTTTTAGCTTTTTAAATAACTTTAATCATAGCATGTCCCAAGTGCCTGAAACTTATACTTCACTACATTAGCCAAGTAGGTTTAGCCTTTTAAATATTGCATGACCATTTTCGATGTCAGTATCAGAATTGCAGTACTTTAATTGCTACTTAGCTCTTCAGAATATATATCTTTATTCTTTTGTTTTGGTAGTTATTTTTAAGAATGATAACATATTTTGAAAAAAATCATTAGTTCTCTGACCCAAGTCTCTTCAATAGTGAACAAATCATACACATATATATCTCGTGTTTATAAGTTGTTTGAATTGTTGGTTTCGGATATAAATTTCTACACATTAATCCGCACGTTGATGTTTTATTTAGCTTTGCTAGGGACTAATAAATGCGCAAACATAGTTATATCAGCAATCCAATGGGATCCCCTTAGGTCTATTGGCCCATTGTGTTGCCGTATTGAGGAAACCTCAAGGGCTTATAAGCCATCTTGAACCGCTGACAAAACTTAAAATGCTATTTAATGTTAAGTTTTTAAGTTGACCAAGATCTTTAAAAAAAAGGCCCCTTTTATAATGTATGTAAGATTTATAGGGTTTTCATCGCTTTTTAACGAACTTCTTGATTGGTTCAATACAGTCTTAATTCGAAATTCATAGCAGTTGTGACGTATAAGTAAAATTAATTATGTTCATATTATACACTCGTACTGCACATAAATATACTTTTTTTACACACCTACATTTTATTTGTATATGTCAATTGGAGAGTCTGAACCTCAAATAAGATTAAAGTAATTGATTATGTTGAAAAAGTTCTAAAAAACCAGCCAGAAGACCATAGTGCACAACGCAAGTAAGCCCGCAGTGCACCTCCATGAATTAAGACCTCACTCAAAATGATGTCACCACTAATTAACTACATTTTGATGCAGCTGCGCTCCTGTTGCGGACCAAAGAACTGGACTGCGTGCGAAAGCATCGCCTGCAGTACATGAACAAAGCACACAAATGTAGCCAGCAAGTTGAGAATAAAATTGCTCATTGTACAACGTTAATCCATTTGGAGGTGGACTACATCGACTACATCGACTACATCGACTACATGAAGTGCATGGAGTGCATGGAGTGCAACTGTGTATTTTGTAAAATACTGCAGCTAATTAATAATGCAGCTGTTGATGCACCAACATAGGAGCAACTCAAATACGCAAAAGTTGCCGCAATGCCTTGTACGAGTATTTGAATAATGCGTGTAGGTCGCATAATGTAACGCTCATAAACGAAATCCAACTCATCAATATGGCTTTAGAATAATATTATTTCTACTCCAATTTAGCTGAAAGCCTGCGTCCCTTAATGCTTTGCATGATTTTATATATGTACTTTGGCATGTTTGTGTTCACCTTGCACATCACAAAACCTCATTTATCATTAAAATCATTTTCAAACAATCAACAAATATTTATTTTATATATTTTATTTATTATCTTTTAATTTAACCACAAAACAAAATGATAAAATTGCAATTTAACCCCAAACCATATTAATAAATACAAATAATATATCTTCTAGTGACCTGATCCGTTGTATTGCTTTGCCTGGCAGTGACAAAACTGTTTAATTTATAATTTGGAAAGTTTTAATATTTATTTATTTATTCAACTTGTATGTAAGTGTGAACCTTTTAACAATATTGTATTTTATTTGCTATTCAATAACTCGATGTGCAATAATTTTAATTTATTTCCCCACAACAATAACCACACATAAATTAACAAAAAACAAATATTTTGAACCTTAAGTTAACAAAACACTTTTAATTACACAAAAATGTCGCATGAAAGTTAAAATCGCATGAGATAAATGATATGCACAACCAAGGAGTGAATAAAGTAGCATTTCTAGGATTTATAATTTTAGAAAATAGTTTTAAGCACTAAAACAAAAATTATATAATATTTATAAATAAAAATCATTTATATATAAATCTATATATATATATATAAATATACATATATAAAAGAAAAAAATTAGTTTTCGCAAAAAATTCAAATTTATATACATGAATAAATTTTGATATTCATTTAAACAATTCTCGAATATTGTCGAATTCTGTTGAAGTATTTATATAATTCTATGAAGAACTTTACTTACATCCTAGTAAAGTAAGCGTAAGGTGACATATTATACAGCATAATATTGCAATACATAAATAATACCTAGAAGAGTTAATACCAAGAAAAGTTGCTTGATTGGTTGTACGGACTGATACTCTTCTGCTTTCCCAATTCAATCATGAATCTCTAAGTAAAACTACATCCACCCAATTAGGTTTATGTGACTTAACAGCTCATTTACATCTATCTTTAAGCAGTTCAAGAAGGGAGTAACCATTTCATAATCCAGAGATATCGTGAAAGCTACTACCCAATTTCAGGTTATATTCTATTAAGTATTTAAGTAAGAACAGTTATTCTATATTTTACTGCTTACTATATAAACGTTAAAGCAGTTTAAAATATATTATATTTAGTAGAGAAAGTTCATAAGAAATCAAATACAGGGGTGTTATTTGTACTCTAAATAACCAGGAAGTTATCGTTATTAAAGCTTCATAAAGCGACTCATAATAAAATTATTTGTAAATATAGTGTTAAATTCACTATAACATCAAATAACTTATAATAGAACGATTCCGATTTCACGAGAATACCTATTTGACAATGAATTATAGTAGAGTTGGCTAATATGATCAATTACTTCCGCTTCACTTCAGATGGCGTATCTACTTTTTGGTGGTTTTTATGTAATTTCCAACTTCAAGGTCCGATATTTGAAAATAACACTGCACTGGCAGATAATGTATTGGAAAAAATTGCTCAAAGTTGCTATTTTTATTGAAATATGCTGTCAAAGGGCGTAACCGGGAAATCATAACTATGTCTACATAATTAATAATAAATAGTTATTTTTTTTATTATATACCTAAAACTATATGTATAGTTAGGAGGTACTAAAACTTATAGTTTTTTTTATCCAATATGCTTGCTTTTAACTCTCGATGGATTGAAATAGCACTAGTTAAGCATTTTGTGCTCTAAACGTAAAATTATATAAAATATATATTTAACATTTTTAAAGTGCGATTTTAATTTTCTATTTTATAGAGTAAATTAAAAAAAAAATATTTAATTCTTTTTAAAGTAAAATTTTATGTGTCTCTCTCCCATAATTGTGATTGTGTGCATTTTGCTGTGAAATAAATTAAAATTGCATGTGACTAAAGTCTATAAAGGATTTACAAAATAAATGTTCCTTTTTTATAATTTAAACAAAATATTCAAAACGACACGACACAGCATGTGTTCAAATCTCTAAAGCAGGAATTTAAATAATAAATATTATTTTTACATTAAGGTAATCGGCGCACAGCTTCCGTGCGTTCGGTCGGCTACAGTGACTTGTTCGTGCTCAGCAAAAAGGATATGTGGGATGTCCTTAAGGAGTATCCAGCTGCGCGCGTACGCCTAGAATCGATAGCAGTCAAACGTCTGGAAAAGTATAAGAAAGCTCCACTCGAAAAAGGTAACTGTCGTCACACACTTACCATACATTTCGCACAATAACAAGTACTTGAAGGTACAATAAAGTGCAAAGCAGTAGAAATTAATTAAAAGTCTTAACTACAATAACAACAATGACCACACAAAAACTCATTTTATTTGTTAAATTAATTTTATTCTTATTTAAAATACAGTAAAATACTTTAATACAGTTGCCATGGGACGCTGTCAATCAACACCTGGCTTAGTAGAGAGTTGCGGACGTACGACACTTGAGGACATGTGGCTACCAGGTGGTGCACCACCAATGCAATATCATCAGCAACAGTACCAGCAGCAACAGCTGCAACAACAACAGCAGCAACAACTTTTATTGTCACAGCAGCAGCAACAACAGCAATTGATACAGCAACAGCCGCATCAAATATTGCCCTACAGGTAATGTGACAATAAAGAATATACATTCATATATTTCATAAAGTATTTGATGTTTAATTTATAATTATTAATAATTATTAAAGTTTCTAAAATAAAAATATCAAAAATCTATTTGATTATTATTTTCTTATATTTATACAGTCGTGCTCAAAGCCCGCGCTCAACGCTTACATTCACGGAACGCACAACGCGCGTTACCGACTCACCGGGTTCCTTAAGTCCCAGTGTGCATAGTTCAGATGATAGACCTCGCAGCCGCGCAGCCTCGCATCATTCTACACGCCCACAGTCACAGCCAAGTCGATCAGGTAAAAACTGTTTTTATTTTTTATGTAAATTTGGTAATTATTACATCCATATATCACTGAATGAGTCGTTAAGGTCTTATGGCATTCTGGGAAATAGTTGTGTATATAGACTAAGATACAACATCACTATTTTTTTTACTCGATAACCTTTATTATTGATAACATAATATGTTGAATACAACGCACTGGATTTTAGATGGTCTATTGTGCTAATTCCATTTATGTCAGCTGATCCTCAACCTTTGAATGAACGTGAGTTTTGTTTTATTCCATATGTTAAAGGAAGCAATAAGTGTGACTTGAAGATGAATAAATCAGCTGCTGCTCAGTTTTGGGTAATCGCTAAGAATGTGTTTGAAGATTTCCACATCATTAAAGTGGCAGATATTGGATTCAAAGAAGAAAATTTTTTGAGAAAACACCACAGCATGCAGTGTTCCATCAAAATTTGTGTGAGAATTTTAATATACACTCTGTATTTGCGACTGTTTCAAATAAGCTTATGGTTGGATGGAATATGTCTACTCTTGACTTCTACAGTTCATCCCACGGATTTTAAATCGGAATACCTCCCAGAAAGTAAAATTTTAACATTGTTCCGTCTCGTATGATTACAGAATGGATCTACTCGTGTCTTTTCGTGTCACAGCCTGTAGTGTTCCATCAAAATTTATGTGAGAATTTTAATATGCTCTCTGTTAAGTGCAAGAAGTGTATTTGCGACTGTTTCAAATATGCTTATGGTTGGATGGAATATGTCTACTCTTGACTTCTACAGTTCATCCCACGGATTTTAAATCGGAATACCTCCCAGAAAGTAAAATTTTCACAATATTTCCTCTCGTAAGATTACAGAATGGATCTACTCGTGTCTTTTCGTGTCACAGTCTGTAGTGTTCCATCAAAATTTATGTGAGAATTTTAATATGCTCTCTGTTAAGTGCAAGAAGTGTATTTGCGACTGTTTCAAATATGCTTATGGTTGGATGGAATATGTCTACTCTTGACTTCTACAGTTCATCCCACGGATTTTAAATCGGAATACCTCCCAGAAAGTAAAATTTTCACAATATTTCCTCTCGTAAGATTACAGAATGGATCTACTCGTGTCTTTTCGTGTCACAGCCTGTAGTGTTCCATCAAAATTTATGTGAGAATTTTAATATGCTCTCTGTTAAGTGCAAGAAGTGTATTTGCGACTGTTTCTAATAAGCTTATGGTTGGATGGAATATGTCTACTCTTGACTTCTACAGTTCATCCCACGGATTTTAAATCGGAATACCTCCCAGAAAGTAAAATTTTCACATTGTTCCCTCTCGTAAGATTACAGAATGGATCTACTCGTGTCTTTTTTGTTCTGACAAGACAGTTGACCATGTTTTTACCTTTGATTTCGTCCGAATAGTTGATTTTTAAGGCTTTTTGCTATTCCTTATAGCAAACATCTGCTTTTGATTGGAACTTTGAATATTCTTTAAGATCGTCTATAATCTCTACAATTACATAAAGTTGGTCGTACTAACTAAAGCTCTGCAGTATTCGTCGTAGAAAGATTATCAACTTTTCATGTTGAGCGAATATATCATTTTCATAAATATGTTAAGTGAATTGAATATTTCCACAAAAAGATCTTCATATTATTAGATTTTTTTAAAAACTTATATATTATAGGGCGTTATGCATATGTATTTTGTCTCTATATATTGTATTTATATTTTCCCATATATATTTTCTTCTCTCACAAACTAATTCAAGACCATATTATATTTGCAGGTCATATTTGTGATTCGAGTACACGACTTGAATTTTATGGAGGGGAATTGTCAGTGGCCGCTGTAACGGGAAGTGGTACAACGCCATTACTTGGTTCACATGAAGCTCTTGAGGATGAAATAAAACGACTACGTGAACGTTTACATACCGTAGAATCAGAGAATCAAGCACTCAATACCAAACTCTCGCAACAGCAATGGGACTTGGAGAATCGCTTGGCTGAGATTGAAATGCAAATATGTGGCGTCTCGTCAACTTCCAGCCTGGATCCGGATAACGAAACTGACGAAATGGAGCGCAATCGCGAAAGTATCATATAACACGGGAGCGAGCTGCCCCATCAACCGATCGGTATGATGTACATATCATGTTTCTCATGACACATGTTCAAAAGCACAAACACGCGAAAATTTGTGATAATTGCAATTTTTTGAATTGTTTGTTCGTCATCATCGTCATTATTGTGTTATTTTGTGTTAAAATCATAAAAAATGATATATAATTCAATATGTATTTATCTTATGTATGTGTGTACGTTTTTTCTGTACTATTCATGCATCCAACTCTTTTTCTTAAAATACTAAACAAAAACAAGAAAGCAAGCAAAAACGATACGATTTCAACTCTCAGTCATCTCCACAACTTTACTCTAAACATTTTCTCAGTGTACATTCTCAGTGTTTTACGTAAATTATATTACGTCATAAATTTTATCATAAAATTATAAAATAATTGCTCGACATAAGCAAGACTTAATATTACTTAAAACGATAGGAGCAGCAACTGCAACTTTGAAAGCGGTGAAGCAAAAAAAACTTTCCGACGTATCTGATGTAACGATGGCGGCAGCTACGGCATCCACAAAGCACCACCAGAAAGACTCACCCACACCCACAACACCCGGTACAGAGTCCGTTAAATGGCTAATGCGACAATCCAACATGGCCACACAAACTCCTGTCGCTCACAAAAAGTCACGTTCCAGACACAAGACACAACTCACCTCAGACACTGCGGACGATCGTTTTGTGGAGCGGGCAGCTAAATATTCCTCGATTTAAGTGCTTCATTAGCTCTATTTCAGAAAGGTTTTTAGTAATATTTTATTTTCGTTTGCATGTCATATTTTTTTTATGAAATTTTCAACATGAAAACGAAGTAACTCAAATATTTTTTTGAATGAAAAATCAAATCTCTGAAGGGATTGCATATATACACACTTCACATCAATTGATATAAGAATAGATTATTTAATATACTTGTTAATAATTAATGAATTCTTGATTTCGCTATGTTAACTTATATACGGACTTTAAGATACTGATATAAAACTAAATACAATTTAAACTAATAGAAATAATCATGAAGGACTGTGAAGGCCATAATTGCGTTAATTTATTTTTAAAAACTCTCGGTTTTTTAAAACTTTTCAATACATGACACTACATTTGTAAATAAAGCACTTTTTCGGTCTTTGAGTGAAAAATAGTTCTGGACATACTGCCAAAAACATTGAAGAACTATTGTATTGCAGCGATAGTTATACAGACGATATGCATAGATAATTAATAATGAATTAAAAACTCAGACATAAATTCAACACAAAAATAATTCTCATTCACTATAATTTTTTTACACAAACTTCACAAAATCTTTAAGGTATACTCGATTTTTCCTCATTTTTAATGAAAAAAGATATTTCAATCTTGAGCTTACCATGCTAATAGGAGCAATACTTTTTTATAATTTATCTTAATTTTAGTATTAATTAAACAAATTGATTAGTTGACACCTTTGTGGTATAAGGTTATGATTATTGTTAAAGGATGTGGCACTGCGACTCTCGGGTCTATTGTGCTCTAAGGTTATGATAGTCTGCCTGAAAATTTTTTCTAAGTATGACTTTAAGTAAGAATAGATGATTGCGTTTATCTTCGTCAATATATATTAATTAGCTATGACTCCAAAATATAATTCTTGCTATGGGCCATATTATGCAGAGTGTCTCGGGTACGGCAAAATTGACTCTTTCGGGTTATGCCGAAAATGCATGTTATGCAGAATATCACATCAGTATTTTTACTACTTCTTGGTACTTCTTCGTTGTGTCTAAATTTAAAAGGAAATTTAGATATGCTCACTTTCAATTTGCCACCAAAAATTACAAGGTAAAATTGATTCTGTGATCTTATAATAATTGTTAACAGTAATTACGCCTTTCTTCAAAGTCGAAAAGTTTAATAATTATACTATTAGCGATTTATAAAAAAAAAGGCTGTGTTGCCTATTGCCATTTTTTCTCCATAACGTATTAAAATAGTACTAATTTGCTCCTAAAAGGCTTAAACTCTGAAATTAATTACTAAACAACACTGTTTTGCCTTAGTGCCGGGGCACAAATACGTCGGCTCTCATGCCGGACTTTGAACGGCCATATTGTTTTTTCTCTCATTCTCAAATTTAAACTTTGCATTGAAAACAACAACAATTGTACTCATGCCGTGCTCGAGACACTTTGTGTACTCTTAAATCAATTAGGTCTACTTTTTGAAAAAAAATTCAAAGTTCACAAACATAAAATTGATCATTTTCAATATATTAAATGTTTAATAGTACGAAAAATTAATAAGAAACAGATAAGGTCAAACTCCCCTTCTGTAAACATCACTGTTTCTTTTGTAATATTTTTTAAATTACATTAATTTTTCATAGATTGTGTAATATTTTAATCTCAAAAACTAGATTTTTTGTCTCTTTTAACGTATAATAATTCCCTCTCGTATGTGCCACTGATCTAAACACAGTAGATTCAATAGTCTACTCCAAATATTTCTAATATTTGGATGTAATATTTTCTAGTTCCAGAGACTTTTTACACAGAATATATACTAGCATAAGCTTAACAAATATATTTTGTTTTTCTATTTCACTTTCCCCCCACATTTATAACATTCTCCACTGATTTAAATGCAGTGAATTCAATTTCGTTTCACTAATGATTTTTATGCAATATTTTCTAATTCCGTATACTTTTTACACAGAATACACACTAATGTCAATTCATCCAATTCATTTTTTGTTTTTTTTTTCCCATTCATGTAACTACAATATATAGTCTTTGTCACATGTGTAGGAATGTTAGACCCGGTCGTCTGGTCGTCTGTATAACATCGCCTCTATTTCCGCAGTGCATAAATTGCTTTAGATAGGAGCAGAAAGGTACGCAAATTATTAAGTAATTTTTTATAAGAGCATAATTTGTAAATATTATAAATGTATATAAGAACCCAATGAGAATAGTACTACACCATGTAATATAAAGTGAATGTTTTTACCTTTTAGTAATAGAAGAATAAATTAAAATCAATAAAGAATTTGGAAAATATTTAAGAGAAAACCTAACTTAGGAGGTCGTAATTAAATTACTTGATTCAACTGAATGTGTATATTGGAACGATTTACTTTAAACTGAATATATAATAATGATTATAATTGAAGGAACTAATAAAACTTAAAACTTTACTCGTAGTTATAAATTTAATAATTTTATTATATAAACATTTGTACTCTTGAAAAAGAACTGCCAAATAAAAAACTAAAAATTAATGAAAATTATTAAGAAGAAAAAAAAAAGAAGACAATTTTTATTAAAAAAATTCAAATGAAATTATAGGAAACCGTTGAACGAACGACAGACATTATATTAATGAGAAGTGCTGAATATAATTAAATAATAATATTATATATAATAAATAATAATTAAGAATTAAAAATTAATAAAAATAAATGAATAAATTTTTAGATAAGGCAAAAATTGATTAAAGCAAAAAGATTGAGAAACCTAAGCTAAGTAGTTTAAATATTAGGAATTCAAACAAGGAAATAATTCATAGACAAAATAGC